TTAGCTACTACTAGTATAGGCCCCTTATACATTCGCTCTCTCACTTAGGTGCGCAACGCAGTGAAGTAATTGAATTTCACGCGAGACTTGGCCGCTAGTAGAGTGCGAGAGTACAGTAGTAGATGCACGATGTACGTACGAAGGTATAGAGGTATAGGTATATATGTACACGTATGTGTAATCGGCGCGATGTTTTTAAGTTACACGCATGCAACACAGCAACAACCCCCTCTCGGAATCATCGAATCAGTCCCGGTGGTATGTGTGTATGTGTGGACGATAATATTGGCCGATATACGAGCCGAGCACAGTGTTTAGAGATGATTTTTCGCGCTCGTATATATATTAATTACAAATCATATATGGAATAGATAACAGATGTAAATGGATGTTCATCGATTTATACAATTATATTTTCACTTTGCCACTTGCGGATTTACCGATAAAGGTAACTGGCCACCTAGCGGTGAAAGATGGCTTCAAGTACGATTGAATTTCACGTAGAATTGTTTGAACGATTCAATTTTCAGTCGAAATGTTCAAAGATGAGAAAAGAATTAAATTTCGTTCCTTTTTTGCATTTTTTGTGTAGTAAAAGAAGTAATTAATCAGTACTTACACATTGATTTCAACGAAAATTTGTGTGTCAAAATGTTCCATAAATAAAATTCAGTATCGATTGCTTTACTTACAATACTTGCTAAATTGAATCTGTCTTAAATCTAGAGTTTTTTTTCCACCGTACACGAAGAATAGGAATATAGCAATAATTGCTTTGAAATTTGAAAAAATTGATATAATAGGTCTTAATAAAAATGTGAAATCTTTGACGGTAAAATTTAATATAAAATTATAAGAAATATAATAAAACTTGAGTGAAATATAGTAAAAATTACAAAGGTCTTTTTTTCCCTCAAATTTTTCCCTAACTTCAAAGATGTCACACTTTTATCAAGACCTATAGCAATTTTTGTCATACATTTTACTCCGTGTAGGCAAACGTAGCAATATGACATTTGTTATGCACATCGCGTGTTTTCCTTTCGGAACACAAAGAGTTGGGAACTAGGGATCGTGCGATTTCAACACATTTTCGCCGTGTAATCGACACGCTCGTACGAAATTAGCCACATAGTATCGCTTCGTAGCTGCAGCAATACATTCGCATGATTATTGCGCCACGCACGCCACGTTTAGACACCGTGACAATAATATATAGATCATCGGCCTCGTACAAGAAGATTAAAAAAAAAAAAAAAAAAAAACAAGGGACGAAGAAAAAGAAGAAGAATAAGTGGAGTCGCTCGTACGTAATAAAAATATAAAATACACGCGTATTAACACGATACTCGAGGATCTTAGCTCTGCCCCTAAACTCGGCCACTGCTACGCTGCTACACCGTATCTCAAAAAGGCATTAACACCCCTAAAAAGTGCGATGCGCCACGCCGAATCATCATTATCATCGCCGTCCCATAAATGTTACCTATATGATCCTCTACAACACTATCGTCAACAAGCTGTGTGCTACTACCCGTCCACGGACGCATTAAAATATCTTTAACCGTGTATACACGTCAGCCGCAAAGTCGCGGCGAAAATTACGACGATGTTGTTTTTTTTTCTCTCTCTCTCTCTCCTCTGCTCTTTTAATAATAACAATGATAATAGTAAAGACGACGATGATGAAAAAAAAGGGCTCTTTTTGTTCGGGCTTAATTACGTAGGCAAGGCAAAGTGAAAAACACCAGCGGCGAATCGTCGCGACTCAGTTAAACCCCGCTGGATACTTTATAGTGTGTGCGCGTACGAGCGCGAGCCCCCTTTTTAGCGACGATTTATGCGGTTCGCGCGGCAGTACATGATATAAATAATAAGAAAAAAAAAATTTTTCGAGAGAAAGACAAAAAAAAAAAGCGTAGAAGGTTATACGTATAAATTGCGCGTGTACACGATCGTTCGTTGTAACCCTTGCTCTCGGACGGTTTTTCGCGAACGCGCGCGCGCCCCTTTAATGCTCTCTCTCTCTCTTTGGAGCAGCAGCAAAAAATGTGGGAGATGCGTCGCGCCGTGCGAATTATATTATACTCTCTCTCTTCTTTCCTCTCGTCTCTCCGAAGGGACGAGCGCGTAAAGTAAATTTATATAAGGTAAGAGATGCGTGTGTATACGTTGTATATTTTCTCAAGCGTCGAGTCGACTTGTATACGTAACAACACCTCGTTTTTCACGGGGTCAAATCTCAGCGGTGCTCGACGGAGGACGGATGGATGGATGGATGGATGATGCAGAAGGATCATCATTTTGGAGTGGTGGCTATCTACGTACGCGGGCAAATATTTGACGAAAATGACTAATGATGATCGACTCTTCGCGCGCGTATGGCACAGAAAAAAACCGCAATGCGTATCAAGTAGCTTTACAAATGCTCTCTCGAGTAATTGAATATTCACTACCTTCTTCTGTGACAAATTTTTCGAGGAAAGGCGTTGATGTCGTCTCAATCCTTTGCTGAGATTCGACGCACACATGCCGCGCCACTATACATACTGTCTCTATTTAGTATAAAAAAAACATGAAACAGAGACGATTGTCGAATATCGATTATGTGTCCGGGTGCTATTGAAGGAAAAAAAAGTAACCGGTGGTCAGTCGATTATCACCCGTTTCCTCCTTGGATTCTTTCTCGGGCCATTTTCCCGGTAATCTCTGATTTGTTTCTATTCTCGAAACACAATCGTAAATTAAATGCCATTATGCACCGGCTGCGCGTGATTCGCTGCGCCCCGAGCAGCCGAGCTTTGATTTATATCGTATCCATTAACCAACGATCGATCGCATCGATACGATCCGTGGCTCAATTACAATTGCTAAATTACAAATTTTTGTTTGTCTTTACGACTTTTCCAGTTACCTTGGGCACAGTGATTTTTCTCTGAATAACATAGACACACAGGTGTATAGCTTGATACACCTCCGTGCAGCAGTGCGACTCGATTGTCTCGAACTCTTTGATTTATAAAACGATCGTAAAACTTCGATTGTCATGCAAAGCATCGAAAAGCTCGTGAGTGTTTACCTTTTTTTCTCAATTCGTCTCTCTTCGAGATTCTCGACCGAGATTTTCGTGTATGGATTTTTTCTTCTTCGTCAATGTCTCCTCATTTGAATAACGAGGTCGTGATTCGAGGAGGCGTATATACACATTATAACGGCCTCTGGTGCGACTCGACGCGTCCCGTCAATCTGTTCTCTCTACTATATATTATAAGGAGGCGCATGTGTGTGTGTATGTGTGGAGTGAGTCTGATTGGATCGTCGAGTCGGTGCGCGTCGATCGATGCTCGATATACTATACATAATTAATGTGTAATATAAAGCACGAAAAAGAGAAGCACATAATTGACTGTAATGAGGTGGCCCCGTCGCGATGGTATTTTTTTTTCTATCTGTTTGAAAATTTGAATGAATCTCGGCGTGACACAGGCGGGTGGTGTTGACGCGAGCGGCTCGAAATGGGCGTTCAAAAAAAAATGAATGAGACTTATCATATTGAAACAAATTATGATTTGTGCATCATTCATTACAAAAATTGAAAGCAAATTATTTCATCACTTTAATTCTAATTTTAATGAAGATGGTTTTGAACTATTACATCGTGTTAAAAGAACCATTCTTTTTCATTCACACATTATTTCGCAATGAAATATCGTCCACAGATAAATTTTTATTATTCATTAGACAATCAGGGTTTTACAAGATATAATGGCTTAGCTTAGCTTTGCTAATATTTATCTGATCAATTGTCTATTAATTGTAATGTCTAAATATTGCATTGCATATGAGCACGTCGGAATTTGTGCACGTATTAGTGCGTGCGGTAGCATCTGTAAATACAATAAATAAATAATATTCATGTTCGACGGGTTCATGAGAGAGAAAAGGTGATAATCGAATCGTTACGTAAAAGTTCGCAAGTGTACGCCGAGACCACAATTGCGTACCTCGACGTTTTTTTCTCGCTCCGGGTCGCGCCAAGACGATCCACGAATCGAGTCTATCGATATCCGATTCTCGATTAATCAAGAATATCCGAGAATATGACATTGCTAACCATAGGAAAGGAATAATAATAATAAGCTTATTTTACGTTACGTTGACGTATTTATAAATCAGTCCTGCAAATTACGCTCTCGCGCCCCCGCTCACGTATGCATTGTGCCGTACCTCATTATTGCAACATCTACGTCTTGTTTCGGGCTATAACCGAAGGCACACATAGCCAGCAGCTGCATTATGTGCGGTTTTTCGAGTTGCTGCTGCTGCTGCACACAGCCCCATAAATAAGCTCGTCGACTTGACTTTTGCGGTACGTGTATTATATATAGATGTGCGAGTGTATATAGGGATGCACTCGGGAGCGAGGTCGTGGCCTCTCCTTCTCGTCCTTTTTCTCTATATGCACTCAATTATATGTTTGTATTGTCCAGCTGCTGGTGGGAGACGGAGAAAAAATAAATGAGAAGAATAAGATATGAGAGGAACTTACGAGAAAAAAATCATTGTTACTGCTGCTGCTGTTTCTATCGTGGCAACAATCAGTAGTAGATTATGTAGCTTACTAATCACGCCATGGTAGGGTGTGACAAATTTTGGAACGAATATCGCAATTTTTCATTAAACATGTTTATAAGGATATATCAACTTGATGTTTTTTTTCGGAAGTTTGTTTCGAAGTACCTAATTTCAAACAATTGCTCGAAGAAATCGTCGCCAAGTTTAAGTTTTATACTCGGAAGGTAATGTACAAGCAGGTGGTAAATTGGTACTTTAATTGTAAACAGTATGATCGAAACACTAGTGATGTTAATAGTAAAAACAAGTTAGTTTGAATGTTGTCTATCACCACCGAACAAGCCATTATACCTAAAGATAAATTGTACTCATTTAAATTTTTTAGCATTAAATAAAAGGACCTGACGTTTAGTTTTGGTACCAAAATGGATGAAAGTAAGAAGAAATCTCAGGAAGTTGACTCAGACAATAATTTAAGTAAACAGGACGTTGTTGTTTTAGACGATAAAAAACATGTTTGTGATATTCCCCAGGAGGCATTTACACTTGAATCAAGTATGATAACACACCGAGACACAATTCACAATAAAGAAAAAAATTATGCATGCGACAAATGCGAAAAGAAATTTGAATTCCGAAGTCATCTGAGTAGACACCAAATATCCGAACACAAAAGCCGTAAAGATTTTGCATGCGACAAGTGCGAGAAAAAATTTGTAAAAAAATCAAGTTTGACTGCGCACCAGAAATTGGTTCACAAAGATCACGAAGATTATGTATGCAACAAGTGCGAGAAAAAATTTGAAAATAAAACAACTTTACTAAAGCACGAAAAAATATTCCACGAAATTTTCAAAGATTACTTATGTGAAAAATGTGCAAAGAGATTTGGTAATAAACATAGTTTGCTCTTGCACATAAAAGCAGTACACGAGGGTCGCAAAGATTTTGCATGCGACAAGTGCGAGGGGAAATTTGGAATTAAATCAGATTTGTTGAAGCACCAACGGTCAATTCATGAAGGTCGCAAAGATTATGCATGTGACAGATGCGAGAAAGTATTTGGACAAAAATCAGATTTGTTGAGGCATCAAAGAATAGTACATGAAGGTCGGAAAGATTTCACATGCGATAATTGCAAGAAGATATTTGGAAGTAAGTCTAATTTGTTGAAACACCAAAGATCAGTCCATGAAGGTAGCAAGGAATATGCATGCGACAAGTGCCAGAAAAAATTTGGAAAAAAATCGGATTTGTTGAAGCATCAAAGGACGGTACATGAACGCCGCAAAGATTACGCATGCGACAAGTGCGAAAAGAAATTTGGACAAAAAAGTAATTTGCTCATGCACAAAAGAACAGTACACGAACGTCGCAAGGACTACGCATGCAATATGTGCGAGAAACGATTTGGAACTAAAACGTATTTCCTTCTTCACCAAAAAACAGTTCACGAAGGTCTTAAAAATTATGAATGCGATAAGTGTGAGAAGAAATTTGGACATAAGTCGGACTTTTTGAGGCACCGTATAATAGTACACGAAGGTCGCAAAGATTACGCATGTAAAAATTGTGAAAAGAAATTTGGGGAGTCAAGCACTTTGATCAGACACAACAAAACGGTACACGAAGGTCGCAAAGATTACGCATGTGAAAATTGCGAAAAGAAATTTGGACAAAAATCACATTGGCTCTTACACCAAAAGGCAGTGCATGAAGGCCGTAAAGATTGGGCCTGTGAGAAATGCCTAAAAAAATTTAAGGAACGGGGTAATTTGATAAAACACCAGAAAACAATTCACGAAGGTCGCAAAGATTACGGATGCGATGAATGCGAGCAGAAATTTGGACAAAAAGTGCAATTGCTCAGACACCAAAGGGCAGTTCACCAAAGGTTTTAATGATCACATTTTCGACAAGTAAGAGAAGAAATGATGATTGACAATTGAAAATATATGTAATAAAAATTGTTCTGAAATAATTTTGTGTTCACTGAACTTTGGGCGTTCAACTATTATATTAAATCATTTTACAATGATGTTTGGGTGTTTTCAGATTTTACATACTACTTGTTACTGTTCTTTATTTATTTTTAGAATGCATGATTCCTGTAACTCTTTATGCAACGATCAGTCGAGAGTAATTTTTTCACGAATTGGTCGAAACTTTGAACTGAGCGAGAAATTAGTTGACTACTGTACTTTTGATAAAAATTACGTAAATACCAATGATCCATAATAACAATGTTTTCTGTCTGAAAAAAGAAACGTGAAAACCAATTAACAATTTAATTTGAAGCAAAAATTGTATTAAAATGGCGTGTGCCTCACATTTTTTGTTTTGTTTTTATTCAAGTGTTTTTGCCTCTTATGAGACATTTACACTATCTTTATCAAGAAACATACAAGTATAACTTCTTCCTTACAATATTCTTACATATTACGGATTCTCCATCATATGAAATTGATGATCTATAAAATCCGCACAATTTCACGTACGCGTCCTGATTTGGTCAGCTAATCATAGAGTCAATTGAATAAGGCGGTCTCAGACCAGTTCTGCCTAGTTGACGGAGAATGTATAAACTGATAAATCGGTACTTAAATTGTAATCAATTTTATTATAAAATATTTTGACACCGAAACACCGATCTGGTTTATAGGAAAAACAAATTAGTTCGAATGTTGTCTTTCACGACCAAACAAGACATAATACTAAAAGAAAAATAACACTCGTTAAATTTCTTATACTAAATAGACTGAACCATCGTTTGATTTAGGCATCAAAATGGATAAAAGTGAGAAAAAATTCGAAGCAGTTGTCTCGGAAAATAATTTAGGTGAGCAAGATACTGTTGTTTCAGACAAAAAGCAACACGTTTGTGATATTTGCCAGGAGTCATTTATACTGGAATCAAACTTGTTGACACACCAAAACACAATACACAGTCAACAAAAAAATTATGCATGTGACAAATGTGAGAAGAAATTTGAGTTCCGAAGTCATTTGAGTAGACACCAAGTATCAGAACACAAAGAACACAAAGGCTGTAAAGATTTTCCATGTAACAAGTGCGAGAGGAAGTTTGAAAATAAATCAACTTTACTCAAACATAAAAAAATATTCCACGAAGTTTTCAGAAATTACTTGTGTGAATTGTGCGCCAAGAGATTTGATACTAAACATAGTTTGCTCTTGCACGTAAAGGCAGTACACGAGGGTCGCAAAGATTTTGCATGCTACAAGTGCGGGGAGGTATTTATAGAAAAATCGCAATTGCTATTACACCAAAAGACAGTACACCGCAGTTTCAAAGATTACTTATGTGACAATTGCGGGAAGAATTTTGGAAGTAAGCGGAATTTACTGAACCATGTAACGGCAGTTCATGAGGCTCGCAAAGATTACGCATGTGACAGATGCGAAAAGAAATTTGGATATAAATGTACTCTGTTTATCCACCAAAGGGCTGTTCACGAAGGTCGGAAAGATTTTGTCTGCGATCAATGTGAAAAGAAATTTGCAAGTAAGTCCGATTTGTTGAATCACCAAAAGACAGTACACGAAGGTCGCAAAGATTTCGCGTGCGACAAGTGTGAGAAGAAATTTGGATATAAATCCAAATTATTTAGACACCAAAAGACAGTTCACGAAGGTCGCAAAGATTTCGCGTGCGACAAGTGCGAAAATAAATATGGACACAAATTGACTTTACTCCGCCACCAAAGGACGATCCACGAAGGCCGGGAAGATTACGCATGCGACGAGTGCGGGAAAAACTATGGATGCAGATCAAATTTGATAGCCCACCAAAAGACAGTACACGAAGGCCGGAAAGATTACGAATGTGACAAGTGTAAGAAGAAATTTGGACATAAACGGACTATGCTTGTTCACCAAAAGACAGTACACGAAGGTCTTAAAAATTACGGATGCGATAGGTGCGAGAAGAAATTTGTATACAAACATAAATTGCTCATACACCAAAAGACGGTACATGACGGCCGCAAAGATTTTGCATGCAAACAATGTGAGAAAAAATTTGGAACAAAACATGCGTTGTTTTTGCATCTAAAGACAGTACACGAAGGTCGCAAAGATTACGTATGCGAAAAATGCGAAAAGAAATTTGGACAAATATCAAGCTTGCTCTACCACCGTAGGACGATCCACGAAGGCCGCAAAGATTACGGTTGCAACGAATGCGAAAAAAAATTTGGACAAAAACAACAATTGCTCAGACACCAAAGGGGAGTTCACGAAGGCCTCAAAGATTACGCATGTGACAAATGCCAGAAAAAATTTCAGGAACGAAGCAATTTGATAAATCACCAGAAAACAATACACGAAGGTCGCAAAGATTACAGATGCGATAAATGCGAGCAGAAATTTGGACAAAAATTGCAGTTACTCAGACACCAAAGGACAATTCACAAAGGTTTTAATGATCACGTATTCGATAAGTTTGAGAAGAAAAGATGATTGACAATTTTAAATATATGTTCAAATTCTCATACATATTTTTTTTGAAACTTTTAATAAAAATCGTTCTAAAATAATTTTTTGATCACCTGACTTTGGGCGTTTAACAATCAAATTAAATCATTTTTCAATGATGTTTGGGTGTTTTTAGATTTTACGTACTACTTGTTATTGTTCTCTATTTGTTTTTTGAATGCATGATTCCTGTAACTCTTTGTGCAACGATCAGTCGCGAGTAATTTTTTCATGTCTTGGTTGAAACTTTGAACGGAGCGAGCATTTAGTTGACTACTGTATTTTTGATAAAACTCACGAAAAGACGAATGATCGATAGTAATTTTATCTGAAAAAACAAACGTGAAAACCAATTAAAAATTTAATTTGAAGCAAAAATTTTATAAGAATGGCGCGTGTGTACTGTCGCTGGTTGCGTTCTTGTCAACCTCATCAGCGATTTTGTTGCCGTGAATGCCAACATGAGATGGCAGCCACAGGAATCGGAGGAAGTTAGCTGGGTTTCTTTCCATTAATAGCCGATGCATTGATTTGATCTCAAAAATGAGATGGCAGGTTTTGACGCTAAGATTGAATAATAATTTTTCATTATACATGTGTATGATATATCCACTTGATGTTGACAAAGTTAGACTTTCATACTGGTTCAAATTCAGAAGGCAATGTATAAACAGATAAATCGGTTCTTAAATTGTGATCAATATCATCATAAAATATTTTGATACCGAAACACCGATCTGGTTTATAATAAAAACAAATTAGTTTGAATGTTGTCTTTGACGACCGAACAAGACATAAGACTAAAAGATAAATAATACTCGTTAAATGTCGGTGATACTAAATAGACTGAACCATCGTTTGATTTAGGCATCAAAATGGATAAAAGTGAGAAAAAATTCGAAGCAGTTGTTTCCAAAAATAATTTAGATGAGCAAGACACTGCTGTTTCAGACGAAAAACAACACGTTTGTGATATTTGCCAGGAGTCGTTTACACTGGAATCAAATTTGATAACACACCAAAACACAATACACAGTCAACAAAAAAATTATGCATGTGACAAATGTGAGAAGAAATTTGAGTTCCGAAGTCATTTGAGTAGACACCAAATATCAGAACACAAAGGCTGTAAAGATTTTTCATGCAACAAGTGCAAGAGGAAATTTGAAAATAAATTAACTTTACTAAAACATAAAAAAATATTCCATGAAGTTTTCAAAGATTACTTATGCGAAAGGTGCGCAAAGAGATTCGGAAATAAACAGAGTTTGCTCTTGCACATAAAGACAGTACACGATAAGTGCCAAAAGAAATTTGGACAAAATCATCAACCGTTCACCCCCCTAAAGACAGTACATGAAGGTAGCAAAGATTTTGCATGCGACAAGTGCGTAGAGGTATTTATAAAAAAATCGCAATTGCTCTTCCATCAAAAGACAGTACATCGCGTCTTCCAAGATTACTTATGTGACAATTGCGGGAAGAAATTTAGGAGTAAACAGTATTTACTGATCCATGTAACTGCAGTTCATGAGGCTCGCAAAGATTACGCATGTGACAGATGCGAAATAAAATTTGGACAAAAATCCAGTTTGCTCTTCCACCAAAAAACAGTTCATGAAGGTCAGAAAGATTTTGCCTGTGATCAATGCGAAAAGAAATTTGTAAGTAAGTCTGATTCGTTGAAACACCAAAAGACAGTACACGATGGCCGGAAAGATTACGAATGCGACAAGTGTAAGAAGAAATTTGGATATAAATCACATATGTTGTATCACCAAAGAACGCAACACGAAGGTCTGAAAAATTACGGATGCGATAAGTGCGAGAAGAAATTTGGGGGCAAATATCAATTGCTGATGCACAAAAAAACGGTTCACGAAGGTTGCAAAGATTTTGCGTGCGACAAGTGCGAGAAGACATATGGACAAAAATCGGACTTTTTGAGGCACCGTAAAATAGTACACGAAGGTCGCAAAGATTTCGCATGTAACAACTGTGAGAGGAAATTTGGACAAAAATCAAATTTGTTCTCACACCAAAAGGCAGTTCACGAAGGTCGCAAAGATTACACGTGCGACAAGTGTAAGAGGAAATTTGGACAAAAATGGAGTATGATTCAGCACCAAAGGATAGTTCACGAAGGTCGCAAGGATTATGCATGCGACAAATGCCAGAAAAAATTCGTGGTTCAAGGCAATTTGATGAAACACAAGAGAACAATACACGAAGGTCGCCAAGATTACGGATGCGATGAATGCGAGCAGAAATTTGGACACAAAATGCAATTGCTCAGACACCAAAGGGCAGTTCACAAAGGTTTTATTGATCACGTATTCGACAAGTAAGAGAAGAAGTGATGATTGACAATTGTAAATATATGTACAGTTATGTACACACGTTTTTCAAAACTTTTAATAAAAATTTTTCTAAAATTATTTTGTGTTCACCGAACATCAGGCGTTTAACTATCATATTAAATCATTTTACAATGATGTTGGGGTGTTTTTCGATTTTACATACTACTTGTTTATATCCTCTATTTATTCTTTGACTACATGGTTCCTGTAACTCTTCTTGCAACGATCAGTCGAGAGTAATTTTTTTTCACGTTTTGTTTGAAATTCGAAACAGAATGAGCATTTATTTGACTATAAACCTCACGAAAAGACCAATGATCCATCATAACAAAGTGTTCGATCTAAAAAAACAAACACGAAAACCACTTGTAACAATTTAATTCGAACCAAAAATAGTTTCGTTTGCCTCGCATGAAATTTCACACATTACCACTGCGCGCACATCTATTCTGCACCTGAACTCCATCGCGTGTATGTAATATCGCACGCGCGTTAATAACAATCAGACCCGCGAGTGTGTTTGAAAGAAGAAAATTAAAAAAAAAAAATCGAGGCAGCTACAGTATACGCGCGAGGAAATGACGGGGCGCTAAATTCTCTCTCTGTCTCTCTCTTTCTCTATTCTACTGCTGATAAAAAAAGAAAAAAATTATACCGATGCATTATATGCGATCGCGGCTCGCGCAAGTTTGAAAGAAAACAGAGGGATGTACGCCACGCACACACACACATCTATATATAATGCGTTACACACATGCATATATGCATGTGCACGAGCGATCGCGAATTATAAAAAGCTCCCACGCGCGCGTATATAACACGATGAGTTGGCATGAAAAAAAAAAAAAAAATTAGACGAAGAGTATTTTTCTTTCGCCCTCGAATGATTAGTCATTTTTTGCAAAAGACAATAACGCGTAATTACGGAATTTTTTTTTTTATCCATAAACGAAAAGCCATCGATTATCGGGATTATCATATATTATGCATCGTGGTGGTGTTGGTGGCACAAAGGCCACGGGCGCGCGCGCGCACAAAAGTCCACTATGACTTCATCTTCGCATTCGGGATAACACAAGAAGACACAAGAAGAAGGTGAGACCTGTGCTGCAGATGGGCCAAGCACATACATACACACACACACACTCGTGTTATATTATAAAAGGCATGCACAAAAGGGACACAGCCATTCGCATTCTTCACTCCTCTCTCACTCTCTCGCAGTTAAGCAGGCAAAAAAATGCTCCGCACCACCCACGCACAAATCGCGCGCAGCACAGCGTGTGTCCCTCTCTTTCATTCATTCTCTCTCTCTGACTCGTCTCTTCGATCGAGACTGCTCGCAGAGGTTGCCCAGCACACAAAAGCCCCCAAGTAGCTCTGAAAACAGTAACAACGGGGCGCGAAATTCTTTGCCTCTGACAATGCCAGAATGCCCAATGCTGCTGGTGCTGCTCATCTTTTACACCTGCGCGCTGAGATATAGTCTTTTTCTCAAGGCTGTGTGTAGCATGGCAGCAGCAGCAGCTCTTTTATAACAGTAAGAATTAATTTCTTAATTAATTCGATTCGAGCGTATAACAAAAGTAAGAGAAGGAAACAAAATAAAAATAAATAAAGACGAAAGAGAGAGAGAAAGAGATGAATTTTGGGTGGCTTTTCAATCATTTTTCAACGTCGCGCTTGGATCATCTGGAAAGATAATATTATGGCCTCGAAGTGATCGCGCGCGCGCAAAAATACAAATCCTCTCTCTCTCTCAGCTATATTGAAGGGTATTAATGTGTTATGCGCGATGTATACGCGGGTGTTTTCTCGTCGAGTAGTAGTAGTAGCAGCTTCGAGAGTCGAGAATGGAAAAATCAACACTACAACTTGACGTATAGATATTACTTGTACTACCTTGTGTTATTATATTTTGTTAGCGCACAGGGGAATTCTTTTACCCGTACATATATATCGTAACAATAATACACGCAACAAAAAAAAAAAAAAAAAATGAAAACGAAAATCGACGAGAACAATTTTTTTTTATTTTCATTCCTAATGCACATTCCTGAGATTGCAGCGAGCCATGCGCAGGACTGCAGCCTCATCATCGTCATCGCACACCCACACGAAGGCCTGCCTGTCTCGTTCTCTGTCCGTGGCACGTATTTCATTATGTTGTATATACTGTACAGCAACGATCCAGAGCATCTCTCTCTCTCTCTTGGCATCTTGGTCTGTGCGGGCCTCTTTTCTGGTGCCACGCAGTCTGCCTCGCTCGGTCTCTTGACCGCTGCTTCTGCTGCGCTGCCATATTATATCCTCACGCGCGCGAGGATACGTTATTGTGAAAAATTTTTCGCTGAATTAACGACGCGTCTCCTTCTCTCTCTCTCTCGCATTCGTATATTATACGGCTTTAAAATATTTCTCTCTCTGTCTCTTTCATTTCTAAACTGGTTTCTGAGAACGGTGGCTTTGCACTCCCCTACATTTCTCTCTTTCTCTCTTTTTGACTACTTAGAGAGGCACACACGATCGAATCCGGAGAAAAGACACGACTCTGCGCTATCTATATGTACGGTATAATACGGTGTGTC